GTGGTGGTGGGGGGGGTAGAGCAGGAGGCAGGACGGAAGGGAGTGGTTCAGGATGGGGTGGGGCGTGGTGGGGAAGGGCGGCAAGGAAGCCGCGTGAGAATAGCCGCGTAAGTGGAACAAGGGCGCGTGCAGCAACAATACCGGACGCGCGAGCAGCCCCGCTGCACGTCGCGCCGAGCTGAGCCGCGTTTCAGCCGCAGGGCATTCTAGGGAGCTCGGACTCTGATGCACATTGTAATGCCTTGTAATTGCACCGTTTGTTTAGTGGGATTTCCCTGCGTTGCCTCAGAATTTCACAAAACACCCTATCACAATAATGTTGTGATATGTGGTTTATACTTCTCGAAAATTAGCATGCTGTAATATACACATTCATCAATTGTGGAGAAACTTAAAAGGACTCCTCTTCATTCTTCCTGTGTGCCTAGTTTTCCCAAGCAACTGCTTTCTCAGCATCCAGTTACATCTACGTGAATTAAATTACGATCAAGTTATTATCTTCTTAACACGATATATCTTTTGATAAAATAAATATGAATTTCCTCAGAGTTGCTGTCTGCAGAGACTCCGATTGCGAGGTCCTAGGGTTCAACTACCGAAAGTAGCAGATTTTAGACAACTAGGTTGAATTCAGTCACCGTCTGGAGGAGAATTCTAGTACCTGGCTGCTCTGTTCGGTAGTTTTCCGTAGTTTCTTTGATCAATACCAGGCGAATGCTGGAGCTCTGACTGTAACAAAGGGGTCACAGGCTGCGCGCGTCCATTCCTTCGTCTTCTTCTTCTTCTTCTTCCCCGCGTAACCTCTGCCCTTACTTACACAATTAACATGTACTACAACACCTGTAGGGAGGCCAGACAGTTTAGATCAGATCCTGGCTAGGCCGATGCATGGATGAAGAACCTCTCCGGGGGCCGACGTGAAGGTGGGCGCCGGACCTCACCATTCAGAGGAACACCGCCACTTCCAGAGAAAACAAATTACTACTCTAACGGGAATAATAACCATAGAAGTTAACGTGCTCAGGAATATCAACCAATCATTCAATATGAATGATTAAATAATGAATTAATTCAATATGATGATTAAAAATGAAACGGAACTTTTGAGAAATCTGATTTGAAGTGCTTGCCATGAAAATCAGCTCACTCCATAATTTACTAACTTTAACACTTTTACACTTTTATTAAGTTGAGGGTACGTCAACGTACAATCTAGCTTTTTTCGCTTTAAATGCAGCGAGAATTTTACCCATTCGTATACTGTGTGTGGTGGTGTAAAGATTATTCTTTCTCTTGTAAAACTTTTGCAAATGGAATGAGCTGATTTTAATAAAAACAAATTATGTAATAAAGACAACGTTTCATACATGTGCTACGTGAAAATTGTGGAGAAATGATAATACTTAATTTGACTATTGTCTCATAAAGACAGCATTGAGTATCAGATTAAGCAGTCTCTTAAACCAATAAATAAACAAATAAAACCAATGTCCTCGGGTATATAATTCTTCAGTAATTCCATCGTAAACCAGTGAGCGTAATGAAGATCGTGTGGGCGGTGGTGAGTGTAACTTTTGCAGCAGTTTGGGCTGCCATAACAGACACATTCGACTCCTCCTTAATACTCACGTTTAAATTTAGATCCTAATTTGCAGCTAATGAATGTGAATGAGGAGACTCGTCATGAAGACTATAAATCCTTTGTCTCTGATAAGAGTTTACTCTCGTTAAATAAAAGTGCTTGCTTAAGGCACGATTCTTTATCTTTTTTACGATTATTGCTTAAAAAACTTCTGATTAAATTATTTAAACTACATATTTTGAAATGTCAGAGTTTTGTCAGAAACGTAGTATATTAAAACGTAACTATATAAAATTTAAGCACCACTTTAATTTCCTTCAGTTGTTCAAAATTAGGATTAGTACCGTCATTTACCAAACAACTTGGAAAAACTAAACATTTTTTTTATCGTCAGGCCAATTAACGAGATATTTTTCTACAATGTTTAAGCGCATAGAACAAGTAAGTTAGACCACGTGTTACAATGTTTTCAATAAATTATCAAAAGGCATTTATGAAATATCTCTTTGTAATTCAGTTGTAGATTTGCTTTATACGATATTTGTTTTGAACAAAACCGTTACAGGCAGATCAGATCAAAAGCTGTAAATTAGTATGAGACCAATGATTTTATGTGAAATAAATATAGAAAAAAATCATGGGTCTCGAGATATAAGTTGGGCGGCCAGTACAGAGTCGGCAGATGCAAGTAAAACCGCTTGGGAGTAGTTTGTGTATTTTATCAAATGAACTGGTAGTTATTTTTCAATATTAAAATGTTGTTAATTAAATTAATGTTTTTACTTAGGAGGATATTAATAGCTATTTTAATCCCGATTTCTTATCAGAATTTTAAGGTCTTTGATAATGCAATCGCTATGTGTAAGATCTGGTTTTCCCATCTATTATTCCTTTATTTATTATACATAATACTACAAAGTGGAACCACGTTATAAGATTATATGAGGACACGTTTGTGTACTTTTGGAAGGAATCATTATACGTTGGATATTTTAATATCGTATCGTATGGTTATCTTATATTTTCATGTGTTCTTTACTTAACGTAATATGTCAGGTTTTCATCGTTAACATTAACTTGCTTTTCTCCTCCATTATAATGTTAATTTAAAAAATGTAATAAGTATATTGACACGGCGACCCTGCAAGTGAAGCATTATTTACTAGACGTATCACCACGAAGGTGAGAAGATCAATACAAAGAACAAAAATGAAGAGAATTCTACCTTTCCAAAGTCTTCACAGCTTCTTCTGTTCCCTTGGCTTGCGCGCAAAAATTACATTAGTATAAATGACCTCTTGGTAGAGACCGCTCACCTTCGAGTCCTTCATGTAACACGGTAAAGTGGTAGCAGATTTTAACTTTTCACAGATAAGCTGACTTACTTTCAGAAGGATATTTCCACAAGCGACAATCCTTTCTCTTGCAGCCTTTGGTTTTACTGTCAAGCACCTTCGACAAAGTGGACACCCGGTTCGCCTCCTATGAAAAAAATATAATTTTGACTTTTGACTCTTGTAGCAAATCAAATCATCGGGAATAAATATTATTTCTACTGTAGGTGGAAGACTGTTGAATGCGTTCTCTCGGTGGGACGTGAATGGCCAAAAATGTACATATCAGGAATGGAAACAACTCATATTCTTCTAGAAGCATGTTCTTTTAAAAGGGGATTCTACTGTAATTATTTCTTCGACAATGCTGACGTTCAAACGAACTTCGTCGTCTCGGCCCTACTCGCCAGGAACTTCAAGGAGCCGAATACACTCTTACGGCGATTTCAATAAGATATTCTATGGGTTAATACATTTCAGCCGACTTTTTCGAGATTTCACTTTCATTTTAGATTCGGCTATACCGAGCGATTCTCATAAATTTTCCGTCTATTCTTGCGGGTGATAAAGTATTTTCTAGTGAAGGAACCTCGCTTCGTGACCCACATAAAACACTCCCTTGGGATGAAATCGATCACTGGGAACAAGGGTATTCGAATCGCACTAAAAAACGACTTCTGAATGTACTGCAAATTCTTTCGAGTGGCGACCATCCGTTCTCACGTCTCTCGCGCCATTAACACCCTCCACTACGTTGATAACGCATCGGGGCAAGTCTAATAACAACATCAACCTTTCCACTCACATGCTGAACTTTATGGGAGGAGCGTCTAGAAAATGTAAACAGGAAACATTCATAAATTGCAAGCTTTCTGCCAAAGTGCTCGGCCGGGGGACACACGACCCAGCGGAAATATATGAAAAAGGTTTTGTTTAATATCCCTTTATTTTAGTGCCCAGGCGCAGGCAATCTATGCTTTACCACGTCCCGCTGCTGAAATATATATATTGCAACGGCAGTAATAACACGTTTATTACGTTAGTTTAGATGAGGCAGATATTAATAAAACAATAGAGCTCGGGCCGACCTCCGGGCACGGGCGGGCGGCGGCGGTGAGCGTGGTCACCGGCGAGTGTGCGTGTGCGAACATGCATGTCGCTCGCGCGCGGCTGAGCATGAGGTCAACTGCGCGTGCATGCAAACGAGCCGGGCACCACGCTCGCATCCCGCGCCGACCGACAGGAAGACAGGACGGACGAGCGGCGCCTAAAAAAAAGGGGGGGAAGCACGACGAGCGAGCGGGACCAGAAAACTAACGAGTCTACCCTGCGGATAACGTTATCGAGCACGCGAGCGCGACGGACAGACGCACGACTGCGGGGCGCGGCCCGCCGGTGAACCAACAACAGCGCACTTCGGACCGGTGTGTAAACGAACGACCGGGTCGGCGGATTAGCGTATCAACGGTTTGGCGGGAGGAGTCGGCCGGCGGAGGCGGGGGGAGCGCAAACAAACGACCTAAGTCCAGGGATGATGTTAGCGACGGCACGGGCACCGCCGGCCGGCCGACCGGACGGGTAGGCAGATGGACGGACGGCCGAGCGCCGGTGCGCGTGAGCACAGCCACATGCAGGCGGAACCGGCTGGAATAGCTCAGCGGCAACACTGTTGCTTCTAAAGCATCATTGACCGAATGGTCGTTAGTAGAGATGCGGACCCCAAATGCAGCGGATTTCCGACTCAAACCACGTAGCTGAGTGTCGTACCATGCCTGTCTGGAAGAGCTCTGGCAGGCGGCGGTTTCGGTAGTTTTTCATTGTTTCTCTGATTAATAACAGACGAATTAGGAAGCACTTCTTGACAAAATTGCCGTGTACCGTGCACGATGTTCCCATCCTCATCTTTCCCCTCCCTCCTCATTTCACACACACACTTGAACTTATAGGTAAATACCTCATCACTCATGTCAGGAGACAACAGGAAACTTAAAGCTTACCCCGGCTGGGGACGTGCGACGCTGAAGCGAGATATCTGTAAGGGAAACACTTCCTAAACCGACGTGTGGGTCGACACCGGATCTAACAGGAAAGGAACATCCCCTCCTCCTGCAATATAACATGCACTACATATACGGGACTACTGAGTCGTCGTTGCGCCCTGAACCAATACACACACTCTCTCTCTCCCTCTCTCTATCTCTCTCCCTCTCTCTATCTCTCTCCCTCTCTCTATCTCTCCCTCTATCTCTCTCCCTCTCTCTATCTCTCTTCCTCTCTCTATCTCTCTTCCTCTCTCTATCTCTCTCCCTCTCTCTATCTCTCTCCCTCTCTCTCTCCCTCTCTCTATCTCTCTCCCTCTCTCTATCTCTCTCCCTCTCCCTCTCTCTCTCCCTCTCTCGCTCTCTTTTTCTCTCTCTCTCTCTCGCCGCACCAAAGGAGAAAGATTTTTTTCTTTTTCCCCCTTGTGATTTAATTCACAGACCCGGAAATTAGAAAAAGCCAAACTTTCTTTTTGAAGACAAAATTCTGCCGTGTACCGTGCAACGATGTTCTCCCATCCCTCAATCTTTCGTCCTCCCATTTCACACATTACACTTGAAAACGTATAGGTAAATACCACTATATCATGTAGACGGACAGGAAACACTTAAGCTTCACCCCGGCCTTGGGGACGTGCGACGCATGAAGTGAGATACCTGTAACGGGAAAACACCTTCACTAAACCGGACGTGTAGGTCCGATGCGGTATATAAAGGAGGACACTCCTGTCCTGCCTGCAATATAACATGCACTACATAACTAAAGAGATATAGAGGTCGTCATAGAGACGCTGAACCAATTTATCACACGCAAAACACTCTCTTCTCTCGCTCTCTCATTCTCTCCTCTTCTATCTCCTCTCTCCTATTTCTTCCTCTCTCTATCTCTCTCCCTTCTGCTATCTCTCTCCCTCTCCATCTTCCCCTCTTCTCTCCTTCCATCTCTCTCCTCTCTCTCCCTCGCCTGCTGCTCCTCTCTTCCCTCTCCATCCTCTCCCTCTCTTCTCCCTCTCCCCTCCCTCTCTCGCTCTCTTTTCTCACTCTCTCTGCGCCAAATTCATTCACGGCAGGCAGAAACGCGCAACAACGAGCCGAGTCCAGGGTTGACGTGATGCGCGCGAGCGTGGCGGGGCGGCGGCGGCGGCGTGGCACGCGCAACCGGAGTGCGGACGCGACGGAAGCGCCCGGAAGCCGCCTGCTGAAAGCGACGAGCGCTGCCGCGCGGCGACGGAAGGAAGGCAGCGGGGCGTACGTGCGCGCACCGCACAGCGGGGCCGAGCGCGCGGCGGACGGTCCGGTGGCGACGCGGGCGAGGGGGCGGGCGGCGGGCGGGCGGCCGGCGGCGGCGGCAGCGCGATCGATGTCCGCGGTGTGTCGAGCGCCGCCGCCCGGCGCCAATAAATAGCGTCCCCCCCCGCGGGCAAGTAGGTCAGCGCGCGCGCCGCGGGAGGGCGCGTCCGAGCGTGGCGAGCGCCCCACACGCCCCGGCAACGCAGCGCGACCCGGCCCAAGCGACAGACTCCTCCCGGCTCCCAATCCCGCTCTGGTCCTCACTGCGTGTTCCGATCCCCCGGTTCCTAGCCCTCCTCGGTTTGGGCCGCCCGCCGGCCACGGCGCCGTTCCGTACTACACGCTATGCCCTAGCGTCGCCCCCGCCCTCGCAAACCTACCAGCTTCCCATTCCGTCCGCGCCTTGTACTGGACCCACGTTCCCAGTCTGTCTCTTCCCTTTTGTCCCGATCCAGGTTCTCAGTCCCGGCTCAGCTTGTCAGTCCTCCGTAAGGGCCTTCGCCCCTGCTCTTGGGCCCCTGGCACTCTAACACAAACTCGCTCCGATTAGTGGCCTGCGCCACTCTACCGAATCTTCCGCCACGGTTCTCCTGACCACGCTTTCCGTCTCCGACCCAGCTCACGCTGTTCTCACCACGGCGGTCTCCAAACAGCGTCGCCGCTCGGACGCTTACCTCCCCGCCCTCTCTTGACCCACCCGCTGCTGTCCAGCCCCGCTCTTAGTCAGCCCCGCTCATGTCCTGTCCGTCCGCGGGTCTATCCCATCCCCGGCACTGGTCTCTGCCCTGCGACGCGACCCCAACTGTACGGACCCTGAACCCGCTCCTGATCCCCCTTCGCGCGCCTGTCCGCGTTCGTCCCCACCGTC